ACAGAACTAGTCCATAGCGCCCTAATTGATGAATTTCACGCTTGCGCAAGTTGACTGCGCCGCAGAATTATCGCAACGTTTCTGCCTTTTTCTTTTTTACCCTTTCTTTTTTCTCTCTCAATTTGAGGAGATTGCATGTCTCTTAGGCAATTAGATACATGTTTATATACCGGATACCTCGATACCTGTACCCTATACCTGGCTATTGTATATACTTTGTTTTAAATCTTCATATATAAAGCTCTGACGAAAATCCAAGGAAACCGTTGGCGGCTGCAGATGAGTGACGATCAACTTGGTCAAGGCGCCGCTCGAGTGGAAAATGGCGCATAGGAAAATTATCACGCGAGTAACATCTAAACACCGGTGGAGAGAAGTTGCATCACAGATTTTATTCTGCAAGTTGACTGCGCGGGAAATCCGTATCGGCTGCTACCGAGTTAACGAGCTATTGGATTTTCCCCAATTCGCCCCCGCGTCGGGTGTTTAGAATAAAAAAAACAAACCACGGTTCACGATATCTACTATATTCTCGGTTACATTTATTTACATCTGGTATATCTGGCCCTGAAGAGGATAGAGGAGAAACTATGTGCCACAGTCTTCTTCATAATAGAAATACTAGGATGTGTTGGCAGCTAAATTGAGCTTGCATTAGCTCATCACGCTCATTCGTCCTGACGTCCCAGGGCCATGGCGTACGTCGCAACAGATGACTTTTGCGTCTACCAATAGACGCCGGGCGTTAGTGTTGGTTTTTTTTTATTATTTTTTCTTTAATTTCTGCACTCTTTTCCCCTTCCACATCCATGACTCGAAAAAAAAGAAAAGGATGAAAAAATAAAACACCATCTGACTGTGTCAATTAGTTACCTATCCACTTCTCACATGAACGGGTACCGTGTGTTGGACAGTGTAAATGAAACATTGACACTAAAATAGAAAATGCACACGATTTCTTCATTTCATCATTTCTTCATCTCTTTAATTTTGTTTTTCATTGGTATACATTATATTCATATGTCTCCCCGAAGAATCTCCTATCACCTAACTCATGTCATAGTCATGTCATAGTTGCAGAGATAGGAAATTGTTCTTTACAATGTTCTTGGGTAACTGCTTTTGATATTCTACGCAATATTTGTCATTCATAAATTTCACCTTGGCATTGCAAAGGCTAAAAGTATGTAATTTTGGATACCGCGTGGCCCCCGTTTTGTAATTTGCATACAAAAAAAAAAAAAAGCAAAATAGAGCCATGGAACTCCAACAGAATTACCTCCCTTCCAAAGAAATGAAAACAAAAAAAGTTAAGACACGGAGTACTCCGTAGACCGAAGCTATTCATTGCCACAAATATATCAAATTAAGTGGCGAAAATAACAATACAGTCCGAAGACGGAGTGAGTCTGTCCGGTTCACCGGTTTAATATTTAATATTTATATTTTTTTAATTATCTGGGGGTGGAACCGAACACTTCAAAAAAAATTAAAAAAATAGAAAAAAATAAAGGACCCCTGTTAGCCCATGGAGCCTGTATCCGCGGTACACAGCTATACAGGGGGGGCCAAAGGAACAGCTCAGTGCACCCAACAGCGACTATTTTTCTAATTTCTTGTTTTTTCCTTCCATTTAAGAAGTGTCTCTTTTCTTTTTCTACAAGATCTATAAACCTTGCCCGTTACCCCGATACTCTTATACTTCCCTTTCTGTACTGCATTGGCTCTTTTGATATACTCTATATCTCCACTATCAAACTTGGTCTGAGCATTTCTATAAATTCGTTTGACGTACATCCAAAATGGAAACATACTCAACACTGCCATCAGCACGACAAAGCAAAATGAAAATCGACGCTTTACTCAACCCAGGCGATGGAGACTACGACTCTCCACGCACTCAACATGCTTCAATCCCATCCTATCGTCACAGCTACCAACAACCTTCACCAAGCTTCCCCTCAAGCCCTAACTACTGGTACAATCGAAACTACCACGACACCAGCCCAGGCGCACTATCCACAACCACAACAGCAACATCCCAAAGCACCAGCACAAACGCCAGTCACCACAGCGTAAACCAACCCCAATCCCACCAAATGTTCTTCACCTACCGGCCCACGGCCACAACAAAACGCTCTAGCGGAAGCACAAACCAAAGCTCGCTGTCCGCGCCCTCTTCGCCAGACCCGTACCATTCCCGCGAGCGCTTTTCCAGCGTCTCAAGCTCTTCCTCTACTAACGGCGACCGCCGTCGTCCCCCTCGGCCAAAGTACGAGGAAGAGGAAATGTACTTCATCTGGTACCACCGCGTTGACTTGTGTCAAGAGTGGAAGGAGGTCCGTGAGGCTTTCAATCGCCAGTTCCCGGATCGCCAGAGACGTGGCTTCCAGGGTATCCAGTGCAAGTTTTATCGCTTCATCAAGGAGAAGAAGTGTCCTACTTTGCGCGAGCAGAGGCGCATGCGCGATGGGGAGTTCCTGAGGGAGGGTGCTTCTGCTGCGTTGGCGGGGGACCATGGGGCTGCGCCTAAGTTTGGTGTTAGGGAATATACTAATGTTTGGTATCATTGGATGAGGAAGTAGGGGGATATTGTGTTGCGACTGTTCTTTTTTTGTTTGGTTTGGGAGGTCAAATTTGTTTTTTTTTTGCGTGGGTCGGTCTTCGTCTTTATTTAAGATACCTCTTGTTCAGCGTGGGAGGTCTGTTGTCTTTTTGATGTTCTCTCGTTTACCCTCTTCCACTCGGGTTCCTGTCTTTTCTTTTACGTCCACACTTCCCAACGGGTTGTTTCTGGGTATATAATATCTACAATACGTTGTATGGAGCAATCCATACTCTGAGAGTCAATATCATTCGGATTTAGATCTAGATATTACTATAGAAGTCGTGACTTTTTTCAAAGCCTTCACCGGTATGACGCATCACACATCTCCCAAGGCTGAATTTTCATCCTTTCTGCATGGTTGTTCAACACCCAGACAGATCCCCTTGCTTTTGTCCTTCCCACCCACGCATACCAAGCAAATAATCCCTTTGTCCAAATCCCGAGTAACGCACATGGTCCTTCCTCGCCTTATTTGAGATTCGGCGCAGTTTGGGCCTGGTTCAATCTGCACAGGAAGGATACCCGAAATAACCGTTGGAGTAGACCGACGATTGTACATGTTTTCCACATGTATATGCACCATAACAGTCATTTCCGTTATTCCCTCGGCAGAATAAATTATTACTCACTTTTTACTCGGTACAGCCGGCTAATACCGTGGGCTAGACCGTGCTAAGGAAAGGACCTATCCACAGCCCGGCCAATCCCTCAGATCCGTCGATCGTGGGGGTCTCATGCAATCCTTCATGCCAAGGCGAGTGCAATTCGTATATGTACTCTGTATGTCTGAATATGAAGATCGTAGGTCTGAGCAAATACGTAACTATAATAGTATTTCCCACTATGGCTCCCAAGACCGGGGCGACGGGCATGTTAGGGGCTTAGGCTACGAAATTGCATTGGCAGATGATATCCCGTATATGCTGTGCGTACAATCTCGGGGACCAATTGCTCGTTTCAGTCTGATTGGTTTCCTTTGATATTTAATCGGTAGATTGGTAAACGCGCCTAATGGGGTGATCCCTAGTACAATAGATGTCAGTACTTGATAATTGACTGTGATGAGTCCAGATAAGGAACAGAATTGACATGTCGTGCTTTTGCTGCTTTTATTTTTTTTCTATTTTTCGTTTCCCTTCTGATATTAACTTATAACCCCAACGGTTAAAGATCGTCGGACAAAAAGGGAACATGCAATGGGACCAATCCTATCAATTTCTAGCGTGTCCGGGTTCGGGAATTCACTCCCGCGAGCTCCATGAGTCTTTTTTTTTTCTCTGATAGAAGGATAAATTCCGATATGTCTCAGCCTCATTCTCGTGGTATTTTGAGCTGTGGGGCTGGGCGTAATAAGGGGCCAATAAGTTAAGGTTGTTGAGTACGTAAATGGGTATAAAATGCGAATATTGTAGAATCTGAAAAGAACATTCGAATTGATGAGGGTTTGATCTTCAGAGGTATATTGAAGGTTGATATAGAGGTGTTTCGTTTATAAGGGGGGAATTTCCGGCTAAAAGGGCTGTATGTGTATAATACGATGCAGTAATGAACATTGAAGGGGAATTGTGAATTGAATATTTCAAAAGCATACACCGTATATAGACATAGAAGGGAACAAGAACGATATAGTGGTACAGTTGTATCACACAGGAACTCATCTTGTACGGAGTAAGGTCTACAGGAATTGAAAAAGTAATGGTACAAAAATTAACATATCTCCGAGGACTCGTGTCTCTGTATTATAGAACTGAAATATCCACAACTAGTTCGCATAGTTCGCATAGTTCGCACTAAATCCGAAAAACTCCACAATAAACTCCCAATTGACCAGTCTCCTTCTTTCACTCTGTCGAATCTTATCAGCACTAATACGCAAAGAGCAGGAGGGGTACTGCAAATGCCGATATAGTTCGTAACTAATTTAATCTAAATCCTATCCAATTAGCTCTTATGCTTAGCGATATGTACGGATCACAACGGAGTACGGAGTACGTGATCATTCCATGTTTTCTTTTAGCTCCGAAGAGTCTTTCGTATTTCCTATTTTGTCGTTGTGGAGCATGTAGGGATCTACGTTGTACGGCTGCCGGGCATCGTGGTTGACCGACATGTCCATATTGAGGTTTTTCCTACTATAGCAGGTGCTATATACCATGGTGGCTCCCGTGTTCCCACTGCGGTGTTCTCAAAAAACTAACTTGTGTTTCATTGATTGGGTTACGGTAGATAGAATCATGTCCTAACAAGAGGAAGAATCACTAACTGAAAAACCCATCGAAAACAAATAGAAAAGATCATCCAGAGTTCCTTGTGGCTCCTCCCCTTCACTGTCAACAAATCAATAGCCTCATCCTCGATGTGGTAGCTGTGGATGGATATTCAGCATACCCAACTACTCGATGACAATGTTGGACAACATCTGATTAGGCTCATCAACAAAGTGGAAGCCTTCGGCGCGAGCGCATCTGGTGGAATAACTAGTCAGCAAAGAACTCATGTGGAGAAACTCTAAGCTGGCAACCTACGGGTCAACTTCGAAGTTGGCAATGCAGTCGTATGGTCCATCTTTGATGCTTTGCAAGAAGTCCCAACCTCCATGAAGGTCATAGAAGAAGATGTAGACATCCACACCAGACTGGGAAAAATATGTTAGTAGAAACTCCAAATACACTGCTGGCGCGAAAACTTACCTCAGCCTGCTTGATCAGAATGTGGTCGAAGCTCTTGCTACCCCAGGCCGGATCGGCGGCAATACCCAGGATCTCTTCGTTATCAGTAGTCTTGAAGTCAGTGGGGAGGCCAGACAGACAAACGACACGCGACGCTCCCTCTTCGACACGCTTCGAAAGCTCAGCGTGGTCCTGCAAACCCTCCTCGGGCATAGCAACCGAAATAATCAGCTCGTCGTCGCCATCGTTCACCCTGATTCCACCAGAGTGGTTCTCATAGTATTTGACGCAGTCCTCTTGCTCGATAAACTGAACGATGACTTCGCCATTCTCACTCCAAGCGCGCTCGATAGCACCACCGTAAACAAGGTGCAGGATACCGGAAATGTTGGCCCACTCGGGAAGGTTTCCGAAGACAATTCGACGAGGCGGTCCAGCAGGCACAACCTTGGGTGCCGTTTTCTTCTGCAAGTTGAGCAGACGGACTTGCTTCATGAAGTCGGCCGGGGCAGTAAGACCTCTCTGCTTCTTGAGGGAACCAGTGGACTCCTCATCCCCGATGGATTCAGTCTCCTGGTACGACTTAGAACCAGCAGTGGAATCGTTGCCTGCGTACTTGCTTCCAGCACCAGTCTCGATGGGAGTATCTGCAGCCTTTTTGTTAGTAGCGATGTCCTGGGTGACACCATTATTGGCAATGCGACGGCGGAGTCTTCTAGCACCTTTCTGGGGCCCGGCAGATTTGGCAGCAGAAGCGACGGCAGCGGGAACGAACGGCTTGGCACGTGGATTGATGCCCTATGAAAGATCAGTATGAGACACAAGTCACTAATAGAAAGAGTCTTATTCTGAAGAGCGACGGCAATGCAAAGAGGCCATGGATAAAACAAGAACCAGCAACGGCAGCGAGTCAAAGAGAGAGGATGACATGCAGTGGGAAAGGTCAAGGTGTTGATGAGGGTGTGAATGGGGGGAAGGGTAAGACATACATTTCCAACCTGCTTAGCATTTTGGCCATTCGAGGCATCATAAAGGATAGGCATATCACCCGAGTTCCCAAGCTCAACGGAACGGCGAGCGGCCATCTGAGCCGACACCATATTCTCGGCAGCAAGGCGGTTTGCCCGTGCAGCGTTGCGCACAGCTGCCGGGGCGTGGATGCTCTCCTCCAGGCTGATCATCTTGCAGTTCGAGATGACGTCGTAGATTACCTTTGTGGTGAGCTTGAAATCGGCCTGTTCCTCGATGGTAAACGGGGCCAGACCGTTAGGTCCAATAACAGTAGGCATCTCCATGATAGAATGAGACAATAGAGGTGAAGGAGAAGAAGGAGGAAAGAAAACAAAACATTGGAATTTATTAGATAGAGACACGCAAACACGTAGACACGTAGAATGGTGTTCAACTTGGAAGGCACACGCGTGGGCTGTTCTTTCCCAAATTGACCGTCACGACGCTGAGGTTCAAATCACTTGATCACTTCTACTTCCTCCCCATCAAATCTGAAGAGAACTGCCCAGAGTTATTCACATCTATACCTATACTTATGTACTTTTCATTAGATCAGGTCTCTAGAAGACTCACACTGTTCCTAGGATGTCTAACAAAGGAATGATCTCAACAAACAGTGCTTTTGGACTTTCATCAACCTGTTCATGTCTTAGAAGATATCTTGTTCATCAAGCTAGAAGAGGGGCCGTGATACCTCTTGAGGATGGTCTGCAGTCTTCCTCTATTGGTAGTCTCGGTGATTTCCAGTCCGAGGTCAAGTAACATCTAGATATAAACGGAGAGTAAATCACCCTTTCGAGTTAGTTTTCTGTTTTGATTTTAGTTCTCTCCTAATATAAAAGACCCTATTGCAATAGATACATGCAAGAAATCTACTATTTGAAGGTTGGGCTGCAATGGCTATATATAGCAATAACTACTCACTTGTCTTTATATTTGAAACTTCATTTTCCGAAGTCCAAACTCACTGTTGTGTGTGTTGGTATGAGATGTAGACATGGAAACATTGATATATTACTTATTTGATGCTCCCTCTCCAATAAAACTATCAATACACCGAAGACACCAAAAGATGAGCAAATCTATATAACAAGAATGAGTAGAAAGGGTATCTGATTCCAGAACATTAAAGCTTCTACGATGGAACAGGAATACTCTCAAATCCTTTCTGCCCAGGCTTACGGTTTTCAACGATAACTTGAAGGCCACGACGACCACAGTAGCCATCATTACCCGCAACCCGGTCAACGACTTGGAAAGAGCCACCAGCTTGAGTGGCATCCGGAACCCACACAGTCTCCTGCACAGTTTGACCGGGGACTTCCGCGCGGCGGGGATTGTCCCAAGGCAGACCGACAAGGTGGTTTCCTAGGTTGTGGAGGAAAGAGTACAGCCCCTCGAAACGGCGGGTGACTCCAAGCCAAGAGAGGGTTCGGTGGTCATAAGCGGTCCGCACGAACGGATTCATGTAGATGCCCGTATCGGTGATCTCGTCGACGTTGGTTGGCGCATCTTGGATGTCCGCGTGGATGAGGCAGCATTCAGATGCCTCCCAGAAGAGATCCTTTCCGGAGCGGAAGCGTACTGGGTTGGGGGTTGTAGGCGGCGAGCCAGTTTGGAAGTATTTGGCATCAAATGCCACCATTCCGCCCCAGCAGCTGCGCACTCGCACTGCGTCTTTGCCGGCAAGCACATCGCTTCGGCTTTCGCCTTTGCCCGACGACGTAAACCATGGGTAGAAGGGAAGACCCATGCTATAGCCTTCAAGATCTCGGGTGGCGTATGTATCGTAAAATTTGATAGGGTTGTCGAAGTCTACGGCGCAGGCTGCACGGTATTGGGCAACACCATCTTCGTTGGCGTTTGTCGAGAATAAGAGCTGGGGTACCTCGGAGGGATGGAAGAGGATATCGTTCAGATAGAGTAGCTTATCGAACTTCATCTCCGGGTGGTCGGTCAATGGCTCTAGTGCTCGATTCCGCACCTGAGCCAGATATTCAATGCGCTTGATTCGCTCTGACCCACCGGGAATGGTCACAGTCGGTATTGTCTTCGGGTCCAGGTGCTTTTCAATAACAATGGATTTCTGGCACTTCACTTGCTCCTCTAATGCGCGCAATGCGCTCTCTCCCTCCTCCCCGCTGTCATTCTCGTAGATACTCAGGAACACATTGTCAGGTCCAAGCAGATCAATCAACTCCAGGAGTTGTGCTCCCCATTGACCCTTAGCAAGCTTGCCACCGCTATCATACAGACTTGCTGCAATAAAGACCTTCTCCTGGCGGGGATTGCCTCGTCCGGGATATGAGCTCTCGAGTACTGTTTTGCGGAGTGTAGAGTAATGTGCGGGGAGATGGGTATATGACGGGAAGAGCATCGAGGTAAAAAGCGCAAGGACAAAAACAATGCCGGCGACAACGGGGAGGTAGCAACAACGGCGAATGCAGAAACGTCGAGAACAGCTCGGTCGTGGTGTGCCTGCGAGGGCCGGTCTAGAAGGGTTATTTAGGCGGCGATAGCCTGCTGATGCCGAAGAGATAATTCGGGAGAACCAGGGCAGCTGGCGCTTGCCAAATTTGGATGAAGAAGGGACTTGTGCTTCAAAATCGTCCTCGTCAAGGTTGAACGTCCCCTGCGAATCAACTGAGGATCGTGAGGCGAGCTCCCATTCATCGGGATGAAGTAGTCGTGCAGTCATGGTGGTGTGTCTCCGAATGGGTATACACCCTTGGGACTATCTTTAACTGCAAATTGATCCAATGAGGTGGCACGCAGCGGCCATTATCATGATAAGTCAAAAAGCAACTTTGATGATTTTCCCTCGGACCTCCAGGTGGGCCGGGGGGTTGTCCACGATAACTTACATCATCAATACAATCACGTGATGATATCGCGCAATGCATATGATGTACAGCATAGAACTCAAGTGTCTCTGAATTCAAGGAATATTATTGTAGATAGGGAAATGAAACATTGAAGTGATAGTTTAATTGATAGTATATCTACTCATCTGGTCATACAGATGACTCCAGCATAAACAAACCTATAATATGATTCTAGATGGAAGTTCCGGTATGTAGTGACGTAGCCTGAAGCCGGGGCACTGCCTGTTCTGTTCACCCAGATGAAATCATTTATCTTTCCGCTTACTCTCTGTATTCGCTTACTCCAAAATCCTCAACTTTCCACTTCGAATCTACCCACTTGCCCAAATATCTGCGGCGTGGGACTGGACATACCTCTTACATTATACCGCTTCCCCGCATTCCACATCCTACCATGTCGCAATCACAATTTAAATTTGCCAACTCAGATGCCAAAGTGCCAGGCAATGGTACCCCTCCTTCGGAGTTTACCATCAAGGCACCAGCTTCCACAGATATATGGGCCAAGCCACCCTCTACCTTCCGCTTTTCAGCCCCGATCTTGTACAAGTCTATCTCGCTGGAATCATTCAAGCGGATTCGTGTCGCCTTCAATGCTCCGTGGGAGAAGAACTATGATCAGGGTGGCGTGATCCTTGTTCTAAATACCGCCGATGGTGGCCAGAAGTGGGTGAAGAGCGGTATTGAACTCACTCATGGCCGACCCCACCTCAGCGTTGTCGCCAAAGACAACTGGGCAGACTGGAGCTTGCTTCCAGTACCTTCGGGGGGTGGTGCGGCAACCCTGGAACTGGTCAAGGAAAAGGATAACAGCTTGTGGATCTATCTTGTTGAGGGGTTGGAGAAGTCCCCTATCCGGGAGATCACTTGGGTCTTTGAGGAGGAGAATGTGAAGGATTTGTGGGTTGGTGTCTATGCTGCCCGGCCATCAAGTGACGGTGGGGAGTTGCCTGTCCATTTTGGTCATTTGATTCTAGACCATGAATAGATCAGTATATGGCCCAATAAGTAGATGATGAGGCCACTGCAGACAAATTATGATATATATATCGCGACTAAGATAATCGGAGCAATGAAATAAAGCAAGATGACATTTGATTATATTATAAGAAGCACAATAAAATATTCATGATCTGTCAAGGTAGAAATAAAGATAATAGTTTGCTGCAGGCATACCATGGCTCCACTATGTATGCTCCAAAGATGGCCGGCATGACGCTGATCAGCTGTGAAAGATAGATTCCAGTCAATAAAATTGATTCCCTGGTTTATTATTCAGTCTTTGTTATGGATGATCGGCCATGCTGGCGCACTTGTAGCTACCCCTCGGAGAGAGCAGAAGCCTACACCTTCCCAATCGGAGTTATCTGATCCGACTAGTATACTTAGCGCAGTGTAATCCCGACAACCGGGTGTATGTGCTGCACAAGCCCTATTTCGGATGCCGAGGTAACACCAGTCGCGTGTTGATATGACACAAGTGAAGGAAAGTCAATCAGTGATTACTTCCATTTCCCTACCTTTTCCTCCATTTCAACTACTTTATATATCAAATATTGTATAGATAAGATGTAAAAGGGAAAAGGATATACTCCGGACTCCGTAGCCCTGAGTCAATCGACCGGCGCCGATATATTTCCGATAGTGACATGATGCTTTCCCTAGATCGGAGTTAATTGGGGTAGCAATGCATGTTGCTGCCAGATAGTGGAGACATTTCTCCGGTGAAATTCCGTAAGAAAGAACTTCAAATGTTTGCTCAAAAAGGAATATAGCATCAAGAGTAGAAAATCAAACTTTCATCTTATCTGATGAAGTGAACCGGAAAAAAGTGACTTGGCAGTACCAAAGACTCAGCTCATGCCACTAAGTGAACAGAGGTATCATGCGGGTACCCCTCCAATTGTAACATTAAATGGGTCCCCCGTGGCAGAATCTCCACCTTTTTTTTTATTTTCCCGTCTTTGACACATCTTCCTATACCTTTGGGGTAGAGGATTTCAACATCCCTGATGACTGAACAACTGTGACACTTTTTTCCTGAATTGTATTGGTGCAGCCGGAATGCTAGTGTTGAGCTGAGATTGGACCTCAGCCTCTCACCTCACGCCTCTACCACAGACCCCATCAACGTGCATAAGTGCGACCGACGATCGGGCTTGGTGTCATTTTACGCAAAACCCCCAAGGCCGACTTCGTATACGCCTAAACTCTTCAAGACCTGCTTCCCCTTACATTTGGGGTCCTCTGAAGCACGGCTGATCTACTCCGCACCCAGTCTGTCCCATAGCTGCCTGCCGAATCCTGCTTCTTACATACAATAGCCCTTCATGGGTCGACCCCAGGCAAGCGCGCTTCGACAACTTTTTACATATCGCGCCCCATATTTATTTTCTTCTTCTATCCGAATCCGGTCCCCGATTCGCTGTTGACACCTCGTGTTGTTGTTTCTTTTTTCCCCTGTGGATCTGACTGGTTCGGGCTATCTGGCTGAAGAGCGCCGAGAGTGTTTGCTAATTAGGGCGGCTTTTGTCCCTTTTATGTGATACGCCCACTGCTACTTACATCTGATGTCGCATGAACTCTTTTTTTATGAACTGTTTTTCGCTTAATCGCCGCTTTTAAGATCGCCGTCTTCTGTATATGCTTTCTACCAATCTCAGACCGAACTCACTTGCTGGTTATTCTTATATGGACGTTGTTCATTAGAGAATACTCCTGTTCGACGTATACGATCTTGTGGTAACGGTACCTCGGCCACGGAGATGCCACTTCTCGATTCACGCTCTGGACCGTCCTACGGCACTATCGAACACGGGGATGCCACAATGGAGGATGAAAGGGATCAACTGTTACAGGATGACCATGAGGTTGAGGGCCAGTCTAGTGGACTGTCTACGCCGGATGAAATCCAGGAGGGTGTCCAGAAGATTGAAGCTATCAATATGACTTGGACAACTAAGTCTCTAATGATAGCTTATATGAGGTTCGTGTGGCTTGCAGCTCCATGCTTTCACTAAGCCCCTGCTAACTTGGTGCATAGTATATTCCTCATGGCATTCTGTACGTCGCTAGAGGGCCAGACTGTGATGTCGCTATCTGCATATGCGACGAGTGCATTCAGTAAACACTCATTGATCTCGACCGTCCTCGTTATTCAAAATGTGGTCAATGGTGAGAACCTACCACCCCGCTTCAAAGCAATGTGCGGCTGCTAATCTTCAATCGATATCTAGCTGTCATCAAGCCCCCTATGGCTAAGATCGCCGATGTGTTCGGTCGCTTCGAGGCTTTCTGTTTGAGCATTCTTATATACATACTGGGATACATCCAAATGGCTGCCTCTACCAACGTTCAGACCTACGCCTCTGCCCAAATCTTCTATTCGGCCGGCTCGACGGGGCTGCAGATCCTCCAGCAAGTCTTCATTGCCGACAGCAGTGACTTACTGAATCGTGCCTTCCTCGCCCTTCTGCCCGAATTCCCATTTTTGGTTACGGTCTGGCTCGGGCCGACCATTGCGGGCGCAGTGCTGCGTACTAGCTCATGGAGATGGGGTTATGGGATGTGGGCTATTATCTTGCCTGCATCCTTCCTGCCACTCGCCCTCACGCTACTCTTCAACCAACGCAAGGCCCAGAGATTGAATCTGATCAAAAAGCGGACCAGAAGGCGGACTGACTTGCTCAGCATCATGCGTCGGACCTGGTACGATCTGGATGTGGGTGGGCTGGCCCTTTTGTCCGCTGCCGTCACATTAATTTTGGTGCCCCTAACTCTTGCGGCCTCCGCAAAGAACGGGTGGAAGAATGTCAGTATTTTGGTCATGATCGCGCTTGGTGTTGTCTGCTTGTGTCTGCTACCGCTCTGGGAGACTTCACGGAAATTGGCACCTAAACCCCTGCTCTCTCTACACCTACTCAAGCAGAGGACCGCTCTTGCCGGCTGTGCATTGGCGTTCTGGTATTTTAGTAAGTTGATTATTCGCTCTAGGTACCCTCGAGGTGTCGTTGCTAACCTTACCTAGTGGCCTTCTACTTTTCTGTTCAGCCTTATCTCTATTCCTACCTACAGGTTGTTCAAGGGTACGACGTTGCCACCGCCGGCCGCGTCACCCAGACCTTTTCTTTCGCCTCGACCATTTCTGCATTCGGTGTCTCAATCCTCATCAAGTATACCCGACGATACCGCATCTACATTATCATCGGCTGTGTTGTGTACATGACCGGCCTAGCCCTGATGCTCCTGTACCGAGGAGAAGGAGCCTCGCACCTCCAAGTGCTCGGCACACAAATCATAATCGGCATCGGTGGCGGTCTGATTAACGTCCCCGTCCAGCTTGGTGTCCAGGCATCCGCCAGCCACCAGGAAGTCGCAGCCGCCACTGCGATGTTCCTGACTTCCATGGAGATGGGCGGTGCAGTCGGTGCCGCTATCTCAGGAGCTGTTTGGTCCTCGGCAATCCCCCACAAGCTTCTCCGCTATCTCCCTGAGGAGACCAAGGGCCAAGCTGCTGAAATCTTCGGCAAGCTGACCACCGCTCTGTCGTACCCAATGGGATCTCCAACTCGCATTGCTATCAACCGTGCGTATCAGGAGACCATGAACCGGCTATTGACGCTGGCTGTCATCGCCACCCTCCCCCTCATTCCGTTGAGTCTTCTCATGGTCAATTATAAACTTGACAAGGTAAGTCGCCAAACAGTGCTTTCTGGTGATCTCGTCTAACTTGATTATAGATGGGCTACGGTAGTCCTAAACCCCGGGGCAAACCGGCTCCAGTTGAGGCAGAAGGAGAGCCCAGCTCGAACTCGAATGACGAACACCCCAAACGAACCTAAACCCCAGCATTCCTGTGTGCATTTCCACACGACGATTACGATCTTACGAACTTTTTTGTGTGACTTTTCCATGGCTTAATTTTGTTATTGCATCCTCGATATAAACCACCAAGCGGCAAACGCTGGGTTGTTCGAGCAAGGTGCAAACACATCCTCGACATATTCTGTTCACTCGGGCTGGGCGATGAGTTCGTCCATCATTTGCATTCGGCGTCATTATTTACTCCGTTCATGGGGTTAGACATGTCCATCTTTATAAGGCTGTATCATCTCAATAGAGCAGGCTGCATACATGTATGTCAACCATAATTCGTAAAGGAAACCTGCGCAAACTAGCGATTATTCCGACCCGACTTTCCGGTCTCGGGTTGTAACAGGCTTCTCTCACTCCTACAGCTACGGCATAGGTTCTGATTTCTCTCCAACGGCCATGAATAAAGTTAATACCCCCTGACATGCACACTAGACAAGGTACTTTGCATTGATTTACGCCAGAATCGAATACCCCGGTCTAGTCCAGCCCAAACTTCACGCATCGCGGCCTTATATCCACTGCTATCCGTCACGGGAAGGATTTGAATTTGGATTAGGAGTCGACCTTATTTCAAATCTCGAAAACCTAAGCTGTAACGATTGAATCCGGTCTTTTTCTTTTTATGTCTTTTACTACCCTCTTTTCTCCGCATTTCCAGCCCTTATTCAGCTCGTATACCATATCCCTCGGTGTTCCACCAGTAAGCACCACGTCTACCAACGTATATTACCCATGCAGGTACCTGCATATATGCATGCATGCATACCAGATACCGCGACGGGAGGGCTTAAAGACACATTAGATACGAGCTGGATTTCCCCGGCACCCCTGGCACCCCTGGCATGTGCATGTGCTTACTGTCAATGTCTACTGTCCGGGCACACTGGGATCTATATATGCCATGTCAGCCGTCAGCTGTCATAGATTCCGGGGCCCCGGCCAGAGGTCTTAGTAATGTGAGTCAAGGACCTCGGCCAGTGAATGCGACAGTGGAGAGACAGGATCTGGATCGGGCTGCCAAGCTGTGATGAGAATAAGCCACTTACAGAGGACGGAATAGTAAGAACTAGGGTACTCCGCGGATTTGGATTAGACTGTATGAGGTGTACTGTATATGAAGGTATGAATACCGAGGTGATTGTATTTTTGTTCCATATAGATATCTCGATGTAAAACGGGTTAAAAGGGGGAGATTTAGGGCCGAAGAGGAGACCGGGAACCCGTGAAGGTGAACGGCATATTGAAATTGGGGGGACTTTTTTTTTTTGACTTGCTTTTTTTTTAATATTTTACTCGGTTCCTTTCGTGTCACGGGAAAAGGGTGAAAGAAAAGGAACTCGAAGGGAAAAAGGGGGGGGAAAATACTCCGGGGGTAACCTCCTTTTGTTCAACTTGATAAGACCGGTTACTGAAACTTATATGTATTATTATAAGTAGTTTTGATTATAAGGTCTAAAGAACATAAAATCAGTGGATACACAGCGCTTAGCCGACAGCGGTTGGCCGTTTATACAGTATGTTATAGGAGTCGAGGGAGTTCTCTTGGCATAGTAATAAGTGAGATTAAAAAAAAAATATCATAATCAATATTTAGAAAGGTATAGAAATATAAAAACTACATATATGTAAACAGTTTAGATATATAAATACAGTTAAATCAAACTGTACAGACCGTGTATCAAGACTAGCCGTCTAGACTCCATCACTCTGCGGGTTGCCCCATTCAATCCAGACCACAGCTTCTTCCTCCCTTTTTGTCTCCCACACTCCTCTTCTTTAACATTCTTACATCAATACTTCCAAATAATTCAAAATGGTCGTCGCTACCATCAAGTACGTTATTTCATCTCCATTTATCCCTCTCCTTAGAATACCCCCCAAATCTCATGGCTAAACCAATCCAGGTGTGTCGTGGTGGGGGACGGTGCTGTAGGAAAGACCTGTCTGCTCATCTCATACACAACGAACAAGTTCCCTTCGGAATATGTCCCCACTGTCTTTGACAACTACGCCGTGACCGTGATGTAAGTTATCCTTCGAAATCCTCCCCTCCTTCCCGGGAGGTGGACAAAAAAAAATATAATACGTCAGTCCAGGCTCAAAGAAACACTTCTAATCGATCGCTCTCCAAATTCAGGATCGGCGATGAGCCCTACACCCTTGGACTATTTGATACTGCCGGTCAAGAGGATTACGATCGCCTGCGCCCCCTCTCCTACCCGCAGACTGACGTGTTCTTGGTCTGCTTCTCCGTTACCTCACCTGCTTCATTCGAGAACGTCCGCGAAAAGTGGTTCCCCGAAGTCCACCACCACTGCCCCGGTGTTCCCTGCCTGATCGTTGGCACCCAGACTGATTTGCGCGACGACGCCGGAGTGCGGGATAAGCTCGCTCGCCAGAAGATGTCGCCCATCCGCAAGGAAGACGGTGATCGGATGGCTAAAGAACTTGGCGCCGTCAAATACGTCGAGTGTTCCGCTCTGACACAGTATAAGCTGAAGGATGTCTTTGATGAGGTACATCGAATCTTTGATTTTTTGCTGCCCGATATCTCCACACCGCCACTAACCCGTTTCTTCTACTTTCTAGGCTATTGTCGCGGCACTCGAGCCTGCGCCCAAGAAGAAGTCAAGAGGCTGCCTCTTGCTGTGAGATTACTCTTCACGGACATATCGCAACAGGTCTGAGTGCGACGGATATGTTGCACTTGGGTTGATGCCTGGTTGACGCGCGCCTCGAAGCAGTTACGATGGAATGAACCTGTTTATTTCTCTTTTTCTACGCTTTCACGTTCTACTGGGCGGCAAATATTTCTGACTGGACTGGTTTACTGGGATATCCAAACTCAGCGACAAAAAAAAAAGGGGGTGTGAGGTCTTGTATTATGGCTAGCGATGCTATCTGAAGCGTTCCATATCTACGTTTTCCAGTTGAAAAATGGCTTCTGTGCTTTTACTGATCCGCTTTCTCTTATGATGTCTCTTGGTGGCATATCCCAGTTCGTGCTCTAGCCTCTCTAATTTGCTGTGTCCTTTCTCTGCTTCTTTTCTTGCTTCGCCTGGCTGCGTCTGCCGTCTTCAACCTGGTCTGGACCTTTGGTATTCGTCTATTCTCACCCTTCACTTCCCTCCGATCCTCACTCCTCTCCTTTACGAACTACAGCGACTGCAATTTTGACCTTCTCCCCCTTTCGCGTCGGCTATACTCCCCGCATCTCACCAATTACCTTCTCCGCACCCGACGCTTTCACCTCTTTTGATCGTCTCTCTCGGCGTTGGACGTCAGGGCGTGTTTTGGCTGTTTCCGTCACTCTCCCCATATCCCCCCTATGCCCTTTCTTTTTGGCCTGTGCGTGTTATTTGTTTCCAGCTTTGCGACCCCTGGAATATGAATTTGAGCTTGCTGTACCCTTCCCTTGCAGATCCGGCTTCTTCTCTGCGTCTTTTTTGCCTGTGGTTTCGCCCTTTATTCCAATTTGATCTATTATCGTCATTACTCTCTATGCTCGCGGTCTTGATACAGCAACTCTGTTCATGTTCTTTCTGCGTTTGATCTCCTGCTTTCGAGCTATGTCTCACTGAAGAGCAACGTTACTTCTCTTAGAAAGTCGCAGATAGTGGACTCCAATTCAACCAGTTCTATGAAGTCACTTGCCGAGGTCCAATCTGATATCATATCACCAGGGGGTAGATGAGCATTTATACTATGTCATGACATCACTCCAGTTTATACCTGAGCATCAAGAAATCAATTCAAATTATACTATATCATTCATTCTTCACTTCATTCAACATGCATCTCGTAGATATGTAAATCTATCCAAGATAACTCAAAGCTCATCCTTAGTCTCCTTCTTCTCCTGGGCTCCCTCCTTCTCCATCCACCCATACCACCCACCAAGCTCCTCATCAACACCAGACTTAACAATACTAGTAATAATTTCAAAAGCAACCTGCGCCGCCGCAAGAGCAGTAGTCTCCCCCTTATTATCATAAGCAGGCGAAACCTCCACAATATCCGCCCCGACGATGTTCAACTTCTCCAACCCACGCAGAATCCGAATGAACTCACGCGTAGTCCAACCACCAGGCTCAGGAGTACCCGTTCCCGGCGCAGTTGACGGATCCAACACATCAATATCAACAGAAAGATAAACCGGCTGCTCAGGATCAAGTCCCGTTCGCGCAATAATAGTCTCAACAACCCCCATAGGCCCAAGCTCATCAATATCATCCGCATGAATCCGAATAAATCCCTGCTCAGGCCCGGGATTCGTATAATCACCCGCATCAACACCAGTAAGTCTCGTCCGCAGGCCCGCATGCGCAGATGTAGAATTACAAATCAGTCCCTCCCGACTCGCCTTGTGGAAAAACGACCCGTGATTAAATTGCGTCTGCTCAGACTGCCAGTACGCACTGTACCGGACAGGGTTCCAGGTGTCCAGGTGCGCATCGAAGTGCACAACCGTTATCGGCTTCTGGTAGATCTGGTGCAGAGCTCGCAGTGCTGGTAGCGCAATGCTGTGGTCTCCACCGAGCGTCACGAGCTTGGGATGCTTTGCGCCGATCCCATTCGTCTTGGGGGCTTTGTTCACAATGCTGCGTGATCCTAGCTCTAGGAACGCTTCATACATCTGGCGCTCGGCGAGCCCGTTGTCGAACGGCGTGATGGGGATATCACCGCAGTCGGTGATCTTAGCCCAGGATTGGTATGGGTTGATCCCGGCGCGCGTGTTATAGCTTGTTGCGGCCATTTGGCGCGCGCTCGCGGCGCGGATTGCGCGTGGGCCGAAGCGGGCTCCTGGGGATTTTGTTAGTACCGGCTGTCTTGGGTTGGGTTGTATGCTAGGTAATGAGGATTGGGAGTTGTTTATGTACCTGGTCGGTAGCTGACGGCCGTGTCGAACGGCGCGCCAATAATGGCAATGTCGTAGTGCTCATCGGGCTCGATAAGACATTTGACTGGCTTTAAGTGGGCGAAGCTGGAAATGCCAGAGAAGGACCACTGGATAGTTATATGTTAGCAATGTTCGAGTTTCATATATTGAATATTGTATATCATACCTCCTGATCCCACTTCTTGAGTAATTCCGCCCGCTCATGCTCAGGCACTACCTCGCCGTTATCATGGTGCGCGCAGGAGGCCGCGGAGCCGGCCAAAGCCAGTGTAAGGAAGGTTTTCCAAGTAGGCATGACTAGAGTGTGAAGTAAAAGGGAAAGTAGGAATGAGCTTTGAAGATATATTAATATTTTCTACATATTGTCTCGTCAAGTTTCCTCAAGCGATGTTGTAAAGGGAAAGACGAGCAGATAAGGTGTACCCGTCGTGAAGACTTTCCCTTCTTGGCTTTGGCCCGCTTTTCGGTTTTCTTTCCTTTCACACTCCTCTGATAGCTTTTATACAAAGCTATTGACGATGCAATGCGGCGAGTTGTTGTAACCGGTCTTGGAGCGGTGACACCGCTAGGCGTAGGTACGTTATTTTATTTTTGGTTCTATTTTTTCGTTTTCGTTCTGTTTTGATAGCTCTAAGGACAACCTTAGAGATAGCCTGGGCATGTTATCGGGGGCAATACATGCAATTCCGCAATTCCGTCTGTCGGCAAACCAATCACTGCCGCGATCTACCCATTTCTGGTTATCCAGGAGCTGAGCTCATGCGTGATATCCAATATCCCCGGACCCCGGGCCCTCGAGCTACTCCCTCTACGTCCCCACTTCCCACCCCGGAAGGGGAAGGTTGTGACAGCCAATGACAGAGGACATGCGGGCGAGTGCGGGACGCCTAGAGAAAAGAGATAGTCCCCGCGGTATCATACTGGGTTGCACTATACGTGTTTGATTGGACTTTTGTGTTTGGGATTTGTGAATGTTACTGTGACTAACACCTTGCTTGGCTGCAGGGATTCGGCGAACATGGAAACGCTTACTAGATGGTCATTGCGGCGTTGTTAATGTGAAAGACCGCGATGAGCGCTTTGCTGAGCAGCCCTGTCAGGTTGCTGCTGTTGTACCACAGGGCAGCCGTGAGAATGGGGGGTGGACTGCCTCGGAATGGTTGAGTCGGGTTGTAAGTAATTTTTTTTCAACTACTCTCACTTTGTAGTCTGTACTTTATTTGCAATGCTAACACTTAGGATAGGAGGAGCGGAAGATGGCCCAGTTTGCACAGTATGCCATGGCAGCAACAGAAGAGGCGCTGCAGGATGCGAACTGGAAGCCCGAGCCTTTCGAGCAGAGGGAGGCGACGGTATGTATGGGAATGCGTGTTGATTTGACAGCTATGCTAACAACCTTAATAGGGAGTTTGTCTGGGATCAGGCATTGGGAACTTTGATGAAATCTACAATACAGTTATAGCCTACGACAGGGGGGTAAGGTTTTGCATATTACATGTCTAGGGAAGTCTATAACTAACTTGTCACACAGGGCTACAAGAAAGTCAATCCACTGTTTGTGCCAAAGTTGCTAATCAATCTCGGCGCTGGGCATATTTCCATGAAGTATGGGTTCATGGGCCCGAGCCATTCCGCAACAACGGCTTGTACGACTGGTGCACATTCCATTGGTGATGCAGCTCGGTTCATTGCCTGCGGCGATGCTGATGTGATGGTCGCCGGCGGCGCCGAGTCCTGTATCCACCCTTTGGCCATTGGCGGCTTTGCGCGGGCAAGAAGCCTAGCGACGGAATTTAACGACAATCCGGAGAAGGCGTCACGGCCATTTGATGCCGACCGTGCAGGCTTTGTGGTTGGCGAAGGAGCGGCTGTTATGATCCTCGAGGTATGTGTACTGCCTCTTATTTGTGTATCACAGCCTGATACTAATACTAATGTCTATAATATAGGAGCTAGAACATGCTCTCGCAAGAGGGGCTCGGATTTATGCAGAACTCAAAGGATATGGCTGCTCTAGCGATGCACACCATATGACCTCGCCTAAGGAAAATGGCGAAGGTGCGTTTATGGCCATGAAAAAGGCGCTTAAACAAGCCCAGGTACGGCCAGCTGCAGTGGACTATGTTAATGCACATGCAACTTCGACCATTGTTGGGGACGCTGCCGAGAACGCTGCTATCAAGGCACTTCTGCTTGGCCCTGATGGCAAAGATAAGGCTGCTGATGTGAACGTTAGCAGCACAAAGGGTGCCCTCGGTCACCTGCTTGGCGGTGCTGGTGCTATAGAAGCTTTGATCAGTGTACTTGCAATCCATGAGGTGAGTTGCGGTTTTACCCTGGACATAGTCTTCTAGGGTTTATGCTAACAAGGAACAGAATACTATGCCCCCTACTATCAATCTAGACCGCTTGGCTGATGGGTTCGATTGCAACTATGCGCCGAAAGATGCCCAGTCACGACAGATTGATGTTGCCTTGACGAATAGCTTCGGCTTTGGTGGAACAAACAGTAGCCTTTGCTTTGCAAATTATTCCTAATATTTGTTTCTAGAATACGATATTGTATGATACTTGGCTAAGACTATGTGACTTTTAGGGCCAGAAGCTTGGCATGTACTGGTTTTGCCTAGAAAGAACCGCTGTCTGATTGATCTGATTGACCAATAATGAAATATTTTAAAGAGACTGATTAGAAAACATCAGTACCCTCACCCATCGATCATTCTCAAGAATAAACTGACAGTATCAACCTCAAAGCATAACAGAGGCCTATTCAATAGATCAATACATAGCACGTGATCAATCCTACTGCGGAGCCCCAGCCCGACCTTGATTCCGGAGACTGAACTCATTCCTTGATAAACATCCACCCACGCCATTTCAAAGGCTTTCCAAGTGATAAGAAACTGCTTGTCTCTCGCTACTCTCTCAGTTTGCGCTCACCATGGCGAACAGTGGTGACCCCGGTCGAGGTACGCATTGTCTAGTTCCTGCTGAAAGCGCAAAAGGCTTGAGATACTTTGACATCAAGCTCGGCGCATATGAAATTTATGAACGATCTAAGCTAATTCTATCTTTGTTGGCAGGACCGGGAAGTCTGGTTGATGCTTCCGGGTACACCTTCACGGACAAGGATACCAAACCCGGCAAGATCAAGGTGAAGAAGACATCCAAGGCATCCACCAAGAAGAAGGCAGATGGTACAGCTCCCAGACACGTTTTCACGGGCATTAGCAATACTAACATGCACACAGATGCCAAAGATGGCCCTATCGACACCTCCCCTACCGCCTCCCCCCTCCCCACCCTCGATAGCAAAGTCGTCTCCGTGTTCCCGACCGGCAAGCCGCGTGAAGATGACCTCCTTGAGACCGTAATCTGCAAGCATTGCAAGCGACCTACTCTCAAGCAAACTGCAGCGGACCATGTCCGCGGCTGCTTGAAGGCCAAGCAGGAGAAGGCGCGTAAGAAGAAGGAAGCCCGCGACGCAGCCAATCGCCTGAAGGCCGGCGACGATCGAGACGATGACGGCGCCGACAAAGCCGACGGAGACAACCCCAACATGGGCCAGAAGAGCGCCAAGAAGAGCGCCACCAAGGGCACCGAGGACGGCAATAGGAAGGGCAAGAAACGCAAGGCCGATGAGGACGACGGCAAGGAATCAAAGAAAAAGAAGAAGAAGGACGAGCCCAAACAGAAGACAGCCAAGCCTAAGGGTCCTGTCGACGTCGAAAAACAGTGTGGTGTTACTCTTCCAAACGGCGCACAGTGCGCTCGTTCCTTGACCTGCAAGAGCCATTCAATGGGTGCCAAGCGCTCGGTTCCTGGTCGCACTCTGCCGTATGATATGCTTCTCCAGCAGTATCAGAAGAAGAATCAGGCTCGCCAGCAGAGTAAGCTTACTATTATCTTATTCATGTTCACCATAGATGACGAGATGGCTAACCCATTCGAACAGAGGCTGCTATCGATGCAAACGCTCCCCTGCAGGAAGATATCGAGAACACAGGTCCCATTGACTCAGACGAAGAAAGAGACTCCGTCATGGCCGCCATTGCCCGCTCTGCACCCCAGCCTCTTGTTCGCCACCCCATCATCACCACCAAGTCGAAATACCGTTACGTCCGCATCAAGGAGCAGATGTCACATGCCATGGGAGTTCGGAATGGCGGTGGTCTTTTCTCAAACGATGATAGCCAACCCCTATTTGGTGGAATTCTTTTTTCAACCGTTGCAGCCGATTTAGACTCATCATCGTCTCTTGATGCCAATGGGGAGGCTGATGTCTCTGCCGGTGGAATGGATGCAGGCAAGAGATCGTCTATTCCAGGTGGCCGCAAAACCCCGGTCACTTCAGCTGCTTGAGTGGCATGTCAGTCGACTGCCGCATATCAAGCAATGATTTATGATGACATCCTTTTCGTTTGCGGTTGGGTTTGAGCTTTTACTGTCTGTACTGGATGCTGGCGTTCGTGGGTGCAGGAGTATTGCTGACCGTCGCACCATTCTTTTGCGATTTATTCGCATATTTCTCGTTCTTCGATTTCCCTGGATAGGCCATGGGCACAGGCTGGTTCTGTCTGCTTTGAAAGGTGACGATATGATACCCCGGCTGGCGTGATGTATATATGGAGTTTCGAAAGTAGTCGCAATTGAATACTTTGCACCTTATTTATTTCTTAATGATATATTCTAAGCATAATACTATCTACAGTCAATAGAACATTACAATGGATACACTATGCAGGATCACCTAGCTCTATAGCTCTATAGCCCGCAGTGACCTCGGCGGGACCTTTCAGATTACGTTATGTGCGCCTGAGGCATCAGGACATCTCTCAGTTCATTCTGTTCGCCGATCATTTATTGTCTTTGAAACCCTACAGCATGAGCAAAGCGAGCCATACTATGACCCTTGGGTGATTCTCTTTATTCGTTTTCTTCAAAGCCACCTGCAGCTTAAAAGCGTCTGGTTTATATAGTCGCGATTGCGGGCGAGCGCCCTTCGCATTTGCTATCACTCCACCAAGTTCTCCGAGTCTTATTGATCGCAGCTCGACCCCCATCTACCTCTTGAGGGAAGTCTGAACCTTACAGACTTACTTTTAGCTGCTTTTATCGCAAACCCCTGCTCCTCCGAACCTTCGAACCGTCACAATGGGCCACGCTGTCCCCGATCTAGACTCGATAGGCATCAAAGCCGAGCATGACCTAGCTGATCAATTCCGTCGCGAAGTTGCCAAACTCCTCGGGCGCAACAATCTCAACTTCCCTGGGGCACAACCAGTCAGCTTTGCGTCGCGCCACCTCACCGAGCTCCAGCGGGAGGACTACTTTGTCTGCGAAAAGACCGACGGCATCCGCTGCTTGATGTACTTTGCGCGCGGAGATCCCGACTCCGATATGCCGGAGATTCACTACCTGATCGATCGCAAAAATGATTACCGCTACGTACCCGGCCTACACTTTCCCCTGCCGAACGACGAAAGTTTCCAGGGATATCACGTCGACACCCTGGTTGACGGCGAGCTTGTCAACGACACCTACGAGGATGGAACCACCCAGCTGAAATATCTAGTCTTCGACTGTTTAGTGCTGGACGGACAAAGCTTGATGCACCGTACCCTGGACAAGCGGTTGGCGTACTTCAAGGAAAAAGTGCTCAGGCCATACAATGCCATGTACCGCAAATTCCCAGAGGAGAAAGCCCACCGCCCCTTTGCAGTCGAGGACAAATCAACGCAATTCAGTTACGGGATTGAGATGATGTTCCGCGAAATTATCCCCAAGGTCAAGCGCATTCACGGTAATGACGGTCTCATCTTTACTTGCCGCAGTACTCCGTACCGCATCGGCACCGACGAGCACATCCTCAAATGGAAGCCACCCCAAGAGAATACCGTTGATTTCCGTATGCGCCTCGAGTTTCCGACGCTTGAGCCAGATACCGATGATGAGGCTGAGGGTATCACCCAGCCCTATGTGGACTACGACGCTATCCCAATCTGCCATCTGTTCGTCATGCTCAATGCTGGCGAGTACCGTCTTTTTGGAGAGATGTTCCTTGAGCCGAAAGAATGGGAAGATCTCAAAGCCATGGGCATTCCTCTTGATGACACTATCGTTGAGTGTGCCAAAGATACTGAAGGACGCTGGCGCTTCTATCGTATTCGTGATGACAAGAACGATGCAAACCACATCTCCACTGTTGAAAAGGTTCTTGAAAGTATCGAGGACCGCGTGACTGAAGATGATCTCATCCGTCTTGCTCCCATCATCAAAACAGCTTGGAAGCAGCGCCAGCACAACATGGCTGCTGGGGACGAGGAGAAAAAACGGAGAGCTCAAGCTATGCCACCATCAGCGAATGCGAATGGTGTCAAGCGGAAGTTTGAAGGGTGATGAGGAATACTTATAGTCTTCGACTGAGACATAAATTCTTTCACGGCTGTTCTTCATCACTGATTCATTGCAAGGCGCGTGGCGTTGGTTTGGGCTTTGTGTTTTATCTACAAGATCATGGCATGGCAACATGGAAGGGATGCAGATCCCGAAAATAGGTGACGGTGTTTATGGAATTACCATTTTGATTGTTTCAAACAATGAAAAGAATCTATATTGTAATGTAGTCTTTCAAAAACTCTTCAGCTAGATAATATCAAAGTCTTGTATAGCACCCGAAGCGGAACAGCTTACATAAGAACCTCCCAGTTTGCTCCCTTTCCCGCATCATTTCCCCATCACCAAGTGACCACAATATCTGCTCGATTCCATCATTCCCATCTCTGATATTGCTTCAGTCCCTATTACCAATCCAACACGATGGGCGTCCGAGATTCCCACGGGGAGACGACGGGGACGCCCGACCCCGTTGACAAGGGGTTCGCCACCCTCAACACCATCAGGTATGTCGCTTTTTCTGTCCGAAATGATTAGCCGGGGGCTTTTTATGTCTACTTTCACCGGTCGCAAATGCTAACTGGCTCCATAGAATCGGTGTGAAGGCCATGGTGCAGAAGGTTCGTCATGACTTGGTCGCAGATTTTTGTGTCGCGTCACGTGATTATAAATCGGCGTGATCAGACCCCAGTTGGGCTTTGATACTAACTATTTTGTATAGGATGGAGAACTGCGCAAAGCTGAGATTCTGTCGATTAGACAGCGGAAGGATGGCCCTTCGTTCTAGTATGTTTGGTTCTACGCATATCGTGTTTATGCTTGAAATTGGTGCTAATTTACATCCCAGCGTACACTATGTCGATTTCAACAAGCGTCTTGATGGTAAATTCCTACTCCAGCAAGTGCATTGGTTTGCTTTCGGCATTTCTAACTGATTCTCAGAATGGGTTGCATCTTCTCGCATCGATCTCTCTCAAGAAGTTGAATGGCCCCAGCCAGACAAAGCTGATAAAAAGAAGACTGCTGCTGCTAGCAAAGCGGCGCCTAGCAAGAATGTGACTTCTAATAAGCGTGCCCGTGCTGAAAGCCGCGATTTATCACAAACGCCCGATATATTGGGTGGCAAGAATTTGAACATCGGCAAGCCATCACGGCTCTCGAAGGCTGGAGGGAAAGAAAACCTCGGTGCTGAGACACCTGGAGGAGACACATCGATGTTCCCATCTGAGGCTGTGTCAACAGTCGGCACGCCCAAGGCCACCGAGTCAGAAGACTTCGAAATGGCAGATGCTGCAGCGGAAGGTAAATCAGTAAAAGAAGATCAAGTCCAAATGGCAACGGGCGAGGTGATTACACGCGGGGAGGAAATCGAGCGGCTCCGCACGGGTGGTAGTATGACACAGAACCCGACTGAAATTCACCGCGTACGCAACTTGACCCGCCTCCAGATGGGCAAGTACGACGTCGAGCCTTGGTACTTCTCACCGTACCCGGATTCCTTCTCGGACGTCGACCTAGTCTACATCGACGAGTTCTGCCTCAGCTACTTCGACAACAAGCGTGCGTTTGAGCGCCATCGCGCAAAATGCACCTTGACCCACCCACCCGGTAATGAGATCTACCGCGACGACTACATCTCCTTCTTTGAAGTCGACGGCCGTCGCCAGCGTACCTGGTGCCGGAATCTGTGTCTTCTGAGTAAACTCTTTCTCGACCACAAGACGCTTTACTACGACGTCGACCCGTTCTTGTTCTACTGCATGACCACACGGGACGAGACCGGCTGCCACTTCGTTGGCTACTTCTCCAAGGAGAAGGACTCTGCTGAAGGTTATAACCTGGCTTGTATCATGACTTTGCCGCAATACCAGCGCCGCGGTTTCGGCCGCCTGCTCATCTCATTCAGCTACGAGCTCAGCAAGCGCGAAGGCAAGCTCGGCTCCCCCGAGAAACCACTCAGTGATCTGGGTCTACTTGGTTATCGACAGTACTGGCGCGAGACGCTAGTGGAATTACTGATCGAGCCAAACCGAGAAGCTATTAGCGAGAACGAGCTTGCGGTGCTCACTTCCATGACCGAGAAGGACGTCCACGAGACTCTGGTTGTATTTAACATGCTCCGATACCACGTAAGTCTGAACTTCCAAGCGTGCACTACACTGCAGCACATACAATACTATATGGTTTGCTAACTATATTTGCAGAAGGGTAATTGGGTCATCGTACTCACTGATCACGTCGTGGAGGAGCACGAGAAGCGCCTCAAGAAGGAGGAGATCAAGGGTGCGCGCAAAATCGATCCTGCTCGTCTCCAGTGGAAGCCTCCTGTCTTTGCTGCTTCCAGCCGGACCTGGAACTGGTGAATGGAGGTCTCCTGCTTACTTTCCTTTTGTTCAATTTCTGCGAGCTGTTTTTAATATGCGTTTTTATCTAATGGATGTTTTGGCTTGGTTTTGGGGCGTTATGGGTATCAAAACTATGGTCATCTTTGGACTTGTGGTATCACAGATGCCACCGTCTCCGTGATGATTCACTTGTTGTGATATTACGGCTGGTCTGGGCGGCGTATTCGAGGGACAGGGCGTTTATCTTGAGCCTAATAAGGGCTTTCCTCGGTTGATACCTATCATTTGTGTAAATTATTTAACTATCTTCAATCCTCTGCTTATACTTCTAAGTCTTTTTTTAAAATTTAAAGCCTTCCATTACTCGGCATATCAAATCGACGGAAAGAGTGGCTCAAGTCAAGGGTATGGCGACGTTATGGACATGGTAGGTCTGTGCTATGGATCGGAGGGTGCGAAGGAATAGAGTAGCTGAAATTCGGGCGTGTTCAAGTCGCATGTTCTCGTGACGGCCTCGGATGCAAGTTTCTTTCGCTATAGCCTGTAAGATATAGTTAGCTCATGGTCCAAACAATGCATCTATCGAGCTTTCGTCGTGATCAGCCCTATTACCTTGAGTTG